GCTGAATTTGTTTATTAACTTAAATATCTTTTTTTTTTGCAGATTCATAAGGATGTTCTATACGTAAGATCATATCATTTGTGAATGGAGATAGTTTTACTTCTTTTTCCCCAGTTTGGATATCTTTTATTAGTTTTTTCTTACCCAATTGTTCTGGCTAGAATTTCTAGTATAATGTTAAATAGAAGTGGTAAAAGTAGGCACTCTGGTCTTGTTCCTGATCTTGGAAGTTTTCAGCTTTTTACAATTACAATGATGTTCACTGTTGGTTTTTCATAGATGCCCTTTATCAAGTTAAGGAAGTCCCCTTTTATTTAGAGTGTTTTGAGTATTTTTATCATGAAACGGTGTTGGATTTTGTCAAATGCTTTTCCTGCATTAATTGAGATATATTTGTTTTTATCACCTTCAATCTATTAATGCCGTGTATCACATTGATTAATTTTTATATGTTGAACCACCTTTACATTCCTCCAATAAATTTCACTTGGTCAGGGTATATAATCCCCTTAATATATTGCTGGATTCAGTCTACTAGCATTTTGTTAAGAATTTTTGCATTTATATTCATAAAGGATATTAGTCTGTAGTTTCCTTTTCTCATGATGTTTTTGTCTGCCAGCTACCATTTTTTAACTTTTTAGTAGGTTGATATAGCAAGACATTGTGCCCAGATCTTTCTCTGGCCTGGGGGGAAATAAAACTCTTGCCACAATGGTTATACTATTTGATAATTTTATTTTACTTTTTGCTAAATTTCAAAGATGCTTTGCCTGGTGATGCCTTGTTTAAGCAATTTTTAAGCTGAGTTGATTCACTAAGCATTAAACAATGTAAGTTTTTCCCAGAATGCTTCAACTTTTGTATTATCTGACTTTCAGGGCAGTGGCATAACCAGAGTTTTGGTCCGTAATGCCAGTTCCCAGTACCTACCATAACAGTTGGCACATAGTTGGTTTTTACAGCTATTTACTGAATAAATATATTAGGGCACTGAGTTGGAGGCTAATAGGTGGGCAGATGGGGGGCTGTAGGTGAAGCATTTGGTATAGAATGAGAAGTTCTGAACTACAAACCGAACTTGTGCCCTACCCTCCATTTTAGAGAACTTTTGGCAAAAGATCAAGTGAGAGTTCCCTCTCCCTGTGAGACCTCAAAAGTAATAAATATATTCATTTTAAAAGTCAATGACTAAAAGGTTTTGAGCCCTAAAACACAGACAATCTGAATAATTTATCCCTTTATTTTATGAAGACAGCATTAAGTAATCATCAGATATGCTCAGTACTTGGTTTGTTTGTTTGTTTGTTTGTTTGTTTGTTTGTTTGTTTGTTTGTTTTGGTCTTCTCTTGGAAAAGTTTCTACTTGAAATGCTGAAGTGCTTCAAAGGTTAAGAGACTGAGATTCTAGGTGCATTGCTTTGCACCTAAAGAAGAGTACACCAATGGGGATCATCCATGGTCCGGCACTGTGAGCATGACCTGGTCACTGGTTCTCCCCAATGAGGTGACCTGCTTTCCTCTATTATGCCCAAGATTTCAGATCCAGAGAGCCTGACTAACCATCAATGTCTGATATATTAGTTGCTAGGGTGCTGTAACAAAGTACAACAGACTGGGTAGCTTAAGCAACAGAAATTGATTGTCTCACAATTCTGGAAGCTAGAAGTCCAAGATAAAGTGTTGACGAGTTGTTTCCTTCTGAGAGCTCTGAAGAAAAGATCTGTTCCATGCCCCTTTCCTAGTTTCTGGTGGTTTATTGGCAATATTTGGTGTTCCATGGTGTCTGCTGTATCACTGCAATCCCTGCCTTTATCTTCACATGGCCTGCTCCTTGTGCGCATGTCTGTGTACAAATTTCCCCCTTTTATAAGGACACTAGTCATGTAAGACTAGGGCCCACCTTACTCCAATATGACATTATCTTTACTTAAGTAATTACATTTGTAATGACCTTATATCCAAATATGATCACATTCTGAGGTGCTTAGGGTTAAGACTTCAATTCATGAGTTTTGTAAGGACATGATTCAACTCATAATACTGCACAAGGCTCAAGGCCCAGGTAAACACCTGACAAAACCTACTATCAGAGGAGGGAGAGGAGGCAGAGCAGATTTAGGGGAAGGGGCCCACCAGAGGCATTGGCTGTGTTTATATCGTGAGAATGTGGCCACTCTGAAGGTGAGCATTATGCCAAGGGTACACAATGTTTGCCTCAACTGGGAAATGTCACTACTCACTCATAAAAGGGAAGAGGGTAGACACTCATTTCCATAGTATATGAAACCTTTACCTGAGCAAGGGGTCTTCTGGCTCTTAGTATCACAAATCTTTGCAAAAAAATGTTCAAGAGCATTGAAAAACTTTGTATACCAGTTCTTGATCTAACAGATCATGCTGTCTGAGCAAATAAAACAGATAGGTGCTTGACACTGGGGACCTCCATTACCTACATCACTGTGGCCATTTAATGGACAACCACAGAGAACAGGAGTTACTATCTGCCTCCCACTGGTCTTTTGAGTAACCAATGAATCTTTAGATAAACCAGATCTGCCATATATCCAACTTTGAGCCTCATTTCTGTCACCAGTCACCAATCACAGACACATTCCCTTCTCTAGTACCCAGGCTGCTGACCATGTATGTGGCCTGCTAACAGTCTTTCTTAGAATAGAAGGCAGAATTACTCCCATATAGGTAATTTTATTGTTCATTCAAACATTGGGTCCAAGACTCATGTCTCACCCAACAAAATGGATCTTCTTAATTATAAAGCCAGAAGCACCCTGGAAAATTTATTTACTCGACAATGATGGTCATTGAGCACTAACTATGTGTGCTGGAGTACAGTGATAGAATGAACTCATGTTCACACCAGGTCCCTGGCCTTAGTTAGCTTATGTTTTAGAGAAAGAGGGAATCAATAAATGAGTAAAGAAAAGAACTATAAATTGTGAAAAATGGTCTGAAGGAAATTAACAGGCTGATGAGTTAGATAATGGGAAGGGTAGGGATGAGAAAGATGAGAATGTCTACATTAGATAGGATAGTTAAGGAAGGCCTCTCTGAGGAAGAGCCATTTTAACTTAGTCCTAGGAGATGAAAAAGAGCAGGGTTACAGAGATGTGGAGAAAGAAAGACCCAGACATGAGTAATAGTTCGTCCAAAGGTCTTGAGGTGGAATTGTGCTTGGCATGTTCAAGAAATAGAAAGAAAGCCAGTGCGTCTGGAGTGCAGAGAGAGGAAGCATGGTAGTAAATGAGGCCAAAGAGAGAGTGGAAGACCAGAACATGCAGTAATTTGAGGTTTTGTTAAAGAGTTTGGATGATATTCTAATTGTGATGGAAATGTATTGGTAAGAGTGGCGTGGTCTAACTTGATACATTGAAGGATTACTCTGGATGCTGTGTTGAGAATGGATATAATAGAGCAAGAGTAGAAGCAGGGAGACCAGTTTGGAGGCTATTTCTGCCTTATTCCTTACCTCCTGTTTCATTCTTCAACTATTTAGTTCCTTGACCTCAGTTTTCACTCCTTCTTGTTTGGCTCTACTCTCACCTCTTAGACCTTATATCAGATTTGGTTCCTTCTGTTTCACCCTTGGTATTCTTTCATGGACACGGTTTTGCTCCACACTCTTGCTCCCTCCAGTTAGGGCAGCTAACTCACCCTCTGCCTAATCTAGGCTTGGCCCTGGCCCCCTCTACCACAATGATCCTCATAGTTGGGAGGCTGGTAACTTGTCTGGAGCCTGAAGGAGACTGAACCTTAGTTATACCATTGTTTCAAGAAGAGAATCTTCTTTTTCCATGAAGAAAATGATGAATTTCTAAGTGAAGGACAATTAGGCCTAATTGATAACCTAAAGGAATCATTGCCTTGACTTATGGCTTTGAGACTTAGTCTGTAAAACCTTGTGACTGTTTTAAATTGACCTCTGCAGGTTTAAAATTTGCACATCTATCACACTCTTCATTGACCAATGGTGTTCCTCACAAAACCCATTCTAATTTTCCAATATCACACACTCTTCCACTTTTTCTTCCATGACTACACAGAAGACTCCTTTATCCTTCTATTCCTAGATCCCTCTATTCCTAGATCTCTCTATTCCATGATCCATGACCGTCCACCAAAAAAATAACCTACTTAGAGTTTGTGTCATATACCCCACCACCATACAGGTGTTTAAAGTTTTGCTACATGTTTTGGATAAAGAAATGGAGCAAACACAGTTTCTTGCCTTTGAGGAAACCATCAGGAAAAAGATAAGTCAATATCTTCGTAGGTTGTCAAGGTCAGGTGACAGAGTTGCCAGTGTGCCCCACAGGTCCCATTTTGAGCTTTAGTATAAGAACATTGTTACCTGTCAGGACCTGCTCACAGCAGGATGTCAGTCAGTTTTTGTTGTTGATGGTGATGAGGATTTGGTATTTTTATAGAATATTAGCTCTCAAGTCTAAGAACTGTCCAAATTAAACCCCAGATATATTTCATCAGGAATTGTCACTCACTGTCATGTATGATGTTTTAGCTAAAGACTGATATGCTAAATAAGCAATAGTATCAATTGAATTTACTTAATGTGGACAAAATCAGTTTTCTAAGACAACTTTTTCCTTAAGTTTCCAAATTATCAGCTACTTCAGCTGAACTGTCTTAAACATCTATTTGCTGCAGAATAGAAGACAGAATCTATCCCTGTTCCTGTCACAGAGTCAAGGCAAGGTCTGGGCCTCCCCAGAACACATGCCTGTATGTCACTGTGAATCAGTGTCTAGCTTTTGGCACATCTCACTTTCCCCATCTGTATTCTGCGACTGTTGCCATGTATGTATAATAGAAACAGAAAGATGATATTATAATGCTCCAGAGAGCTTTAAATAAAGCATTATGCATGAGAGAAAACTTCTATTATGTGTGGATTAACCACCAAATGGTATTTTAGAGTTGCATTAAGAAATGTCAAAAACAGTGGTCCAAGCTACTATTTACTTGAGGCCAGTTCTCTGTAAGTCGTGAATAATCCTGAGTGAATGGATTCATTTACTGAAGCTCCAGCTTGTCCTACAGCCATATAGACCAAAAGAAAGTCATTGAAAGGCAGCCCAACAACTTTTCAAGTGGGTTATTACTGTAACCTACTATACATGAGACATCGAAATAAGTAATAAGAATACATTTTCTTACCTGAGAGAAAGATAAAATTCGACATGAGAATCAATCCATAAAACCTCTGATATATATGTCCTTTCATTGTCTAAATCTGTGTTCGAAAAGTCAGAAATATGCCCAGCTCAGATTCAGAATAATTTCTAAGTATATGTGACCACATTTCTCCTTCACATTTCACTCTAGGTTTTTTCCTATTGCTTAAAGCCATGTCAGTCAACCACAATATAGACACTTGCCTGAATTATGCAGCCTGGCTGAAACCCCACTGATTGATTTATTTGCACGTCTGTTCAATACATTTTATTAAGTGCCTATTATGTGAAAGACACTGGATTACACAGTGGGAATACAGTCTTGGAAAGACAAGACAGAGATACCTTCCCTCATGGGGCAGTTAGCCCAGGGGGGAAGACAGACATTAAATGCATAATTACAAAACATGATGCATTCAAAACCTTAATGCCCACAACTTCACCTCAACAACTTGCAGTTTTAATGATCCTCAGTTTTTTGAAGGAAACACTATGCAAGAAGACCTTGTTGGCAAAAGTAACTCATCAAATCATTTTTATTTTAAAACAGATCTGTTTAGAGAAACCTGCCCAATGCGTTACATTCACCCAGCTTCTCTCCTTAAATAATTGTAACTACAGCTGCTTATTTGGGAAACACATTGCAAATCCCGCTTTTCTCCAACCAAAATGATGTTAAAACACCAAATTCTACAGAAACATATTACAGAATCTTAGTAGTAGAATGCTGATGGGCATTTTCTGATTTTAAATAAAATATACTTCTGAACAATTTACTACTGATTTAAATGTTTCTTTTCCTATAGGATAATGCAACATATTATATTTCTTTCCACTTCTAAGTGGAATTTTGAGTGACTAGACTCACTTTACATTTAAAGTAAGAGAAGCCAATTAGAAAACCAAATGAATTTTGGACTTGTTATGAGCACCAGCCATTAATAAGGCTCTTCACATTTACCAAGCATTTGACTGCCATTCTCATTAGAATAATAAGGGAATTTGTATGACTTGGATTGATTTTCTAAACTACATGCTTAAAAGTGAAGGGATGTCTATATCTTTTATGATTTGCAAGATGAAATGCAACTTAAATTTACAGTGCTATAAGTGGACCAGATTGAGAATCCATAACTAGCTATGAGAACATATTTCTGTTCCTTCATTTCCCTGGGCCTCAGTTTCTTTATCTGTAAAAATGGAGATAATAATCTGCCTATTTCTCAGAACTGCTATAGAAGAGAATCAAATGAGGTAATTTCAAAGGCAATTTTCAAGGTATGAAGTGTTATAGAAATGGACATGATCACTATCTATAAAATGGAATTTTCAGCAGCTAACAATCCAATTTATATTTTTCTTGCACTTCCTCTAAACTTTTATAACAACTTCAAGGTATGTTTCAGAGACTTACCGGGCACCAAATAAATAAATCATGGGACATTCACGCTACAGAATAGTATGCAGCCATTAAAAGGAATAAGGTAAATCTATACGTCTGTCAGGCATGAAAAGGTGGCTTGAGGAAGGGAGTGAGGACTGAGGACCTTTCATTTTATGTGTCACACAATTATTTATTTCTTGATTCTTTTAAAATTATCATGTTACCTATGTGACTTTTTTAAATGAAAGAAAGGAGAAAGGAAGTAATGGAGTACTAGGGGAAGGGAGGAAAAACAGGAAGGAAGAGGAAGAGAGAAATAGAAAGGAAAATGGGAATTAAATAGGTTTCATTTATGCTTCATACCATTCTGTACTGTTTAATTGTTTTACAAGGAGCATGTATTCTTTTTACAATTTTTTTTAAAAAATGAAAGAAATAAAGGAAGGAGGAAAAAAGAAAAATGAAAGAATAGAGATTAAGACCTTCTATATACTTCATAGCCTTATATATAATTTGGTCTTTGTATGATAAATATTTGTTACTTTTATAATTTTTAAAAATTGAAAAAAAAAGAAAAGAAGGAAAGAAAGAAGGAAAGAGGATGGGAGGGAGAAAGAGAAGAAGACACTCACCTGAGAACTGGACTCCTTTAACTTCCCACTCCTGTGACATTGTGGAGTCCAGAAGAGTTTACTTTAAGAATAAGCAGATCTAGTCTCTAAATCCCTACGTTTGATGTGAAATGGAACGAGCAAAAAGCAGGAGGCTCGTTATCTGATGGCCATGCCTCAGTCCCCTCCTTTTCTGAATCAAACCAGCCTCTCTGCTCTTCGCTTTATGGAGCTTATTGACCATGGCAGATCCTCTTTTTGTGGGTCACAGCACGTCACAAGGCTGCTCTCCCGAGCATAAAATCAGCGTGAACAAAGTTTTCAGGTTATTATATACCTGCAATAACTCATTAATTTGATGGTTCTCTCCCAGTTTTGATTAAGGATTATCTTCAGATGCTAGTTGATTATCAATTTAATTCAGTTGGATCATTAAGCAGGTACTTGCTCACTTAACTAAGGCTCATTTCACTTTATTGAGAAAATGGGGAGGAGGAGAGTTTTCAGAATTTTGAGCAGAAAACAGAGGCCAAGGAAGTATAAACATGTTCACATCTCACACTCTCAGTAAGGCAAAGCCAGCTGTTTACAATTCTCTGTGGATCCATTCTTTAAACTGCCTTCAAAATAAATAGATTTACCGAACTGGTTTTGTGTCATTCTCAAGGAGGGGATATAGTATTTGTCCCAGAAAATGTCATTACAGTCCCTTTGGGATGATGGAAATATCATCAAATCCCTTAAAGCATCCAGAGATGATCCCCACCAGCCTCTGCACTTCCAAGATCAAGTCCCTAGGGTCCCGAGGGTAGAATGACTTGCTCAAGGTCATAGAGCTTATGAGAGACAGAGCAGGAACTAGACGTAGGGCTCCTTACACCCAGACCAATATGTTTTCCTCTCCATCTCACACTTTAAATGGAAAAAGTCAGTCTAATAAGAGGCTGAATCAAACTATTATCTGTGGGCCAGTGGTTCTGCAAGGTGGAAGGGGGAAGGAGATGTATCAGAGTCACCTATTACTCATCCCCAAGTTCAGAAACTGTCATTAGTTTGGTGGATGAGAGCTCAGATGTTGCAGAAAGATAGACTGGAGTTTCAATCTCAGTTGTGTGATTTAGGGCCAGTTCCCTAAGATCTCTGGAGTCCTCCTTTGTAAAACATAGGTGACACTCTCCTCATATTACTGTGAAGATTGTGTGAGACAGTGTGTGTAAAGGGCTTAGCCCTGGGCCTGACACAGGGTTCCAGAGTCACTGCTCCTGCCTAGAAATTCAGTTTTCCCTTTCCACTAAGTTCTAGGCTTAGCTTTCACAACCTGTTCCCCACATGGGGTCACACAGATTACAAGGGGATGTGGAGCAATTGCCAAGAATCACCTTGGCATTTCACTGGCCTTGGTTTATATTTCACACCATACCTGCTCATTGCTCTGGCCACACCCTCTGTAACACTATGAGCTCTGGAAGGGCAGGAATTCTGTGTTATTCATAGGTTCACACACTGCCTGGCACATGGAGAGTGCTCAATCAATATTCGATAAATGAATGACTATGCCTTTCTCCCCTACTAAGGCAAGCACTTACTGAGGACAGAAAACACATCTTTATTCTACTAGTGCCCTGCCCCAGGAGTTAGCACAACACTTGGCACATAGTAGATACTTAATGAATATTTGCTGAATAGAAAAAGACTGTAAAGGAGAATATATTCATATATACTTGGATATATTAAGAAACTTTTCTGGAAGGACACCCTGGTGAGAATAGCTCATTTTACAATGGAGACTGAGAGGTCTTGGATGGGAAGGAAACTTACTTTGCTCTGCATATGCTTTTGTACTGTTAGCATTTTAATTATCTTCATGTGTTACTTTTTCAAAGAAAAGCACTGTTTTTTTTTTAAGCCAATGTAACACAAATGAAATGTGCAGAAAAATGAAGAGTTTGGAACTCTTTGGTCAGGGAAATAAAGCTACCTGAGGAAAGAGGGCTTCAATGGTTATCTTCCATTCTCTAAAATGTTATAAGGAGAATCCCGACTATCTGTTCTCCATATCTATAGAGTAATAGGAAATGGACTGAAATTACAGTGGAAGATGTGAGTTAAACATAAATAAGTCATTATTGATGATAGGAGCTGATAAACACCAGAAAAGGCTATCAGGAGATGTTATGAGTTATCCATCCCTGGAAACTCAAATGTCTAGATAGCCATATGGCTCTATTGATTTATGTGTCCTCCCACAAAGAGAGAGGGCTGAACTTGTTGAGACTGTCCCTCTTTCTGACACTAGAAGAAACCTTTAATCTAGTGGTGGTACAGGCTGTCATTGTTCCCTCTTTCCTTTCCCAGTGTGAGCATCCCACCAGGCCAGTTGGGAGTGTGATGATTTCCATTCAAGATGGCTTCCAACTGCAAGTCCACTGTTGAATTCAGTGAAAGGATCTGATGCTAGAGGAAAAATCATCTGTGTCGGTGACTTCCTAAAAGATTTTCAAGGACAATTTTGATTATATTTGATTGCCACTTTAAACACTACCAACCAACTGATTTCTTGCAGATTGTCATTACCATGTATACCTTCATACTTTTGCTACATATGTGAGCATTCCATAACAATATTTTGTATAATACTACATGTTCTTAAACATCATATAAATATGCATGTTTTTAAACATTATATAAAAGATGTGATACCACAAGAGAGGTAGCACAGCATAGTAGTCAATAAAATAGACTCAAGTCAGACTGCTTGGGTTCCCTCTTATCTCATTGCCTCACTTTCTTCATCTGAAAAAATGGGATAATGATGATGATGATGATGATGATGATAAAGATATTCACCTATAATGTCTTTATGCTATAAATGAGA